TATAAATAACATGGTGAACATCCTATTAAAAAAATACAATGATTTGCTGAATTAAGTACTCACATTATAGATTCAACATTAGTTGCATAGTTTAAAGTTGGATCAGTTTTTAATTTTTCAATAACTGACTTCTGAAATTTTCAAAAATCATCTGAAAAATTGTGTTCGTCATTAATCCACTATTCAATAAAAATACAGAAAGGTGATTTAGTAAAATCACAGTAAGCAGATTCATCAGTTTCAAACATTTGTAGACATACATCCTTTGTTGAATTTTCATTTATTTTCATTTTCAGTATTATATATTTCTATATAAAAACTTGTTTAGAGCTTGCTTTAATATTGAATGAAGACATCGCGAGGTTATTACTAAGTTCTCTTGCAGAAATAGTATAATTTTCTCTGGCCTAAATTAAAATATATAAGCGAATGCACAAACATTTAAGATGATTACGAAACTAAACAAATAGTGTTATTCTTACTGTTTGCTCATTATCAAAAATCTTAATATTAATATGTTCATTATCATAATCATCATTACTGTCTCTTTTACACTTTTCAATAATTGCATTCATTATATCATCTAATACTTTCGATTTAGATACTTGAACTCACAAGGACTAAATATTATTTGTTACTTTAATGTTATACCAGTATATTGATAACTTGTATAAAAAATATAAGAATCTGCTTTTCCTAAATATCAATTTCATTTTTCTTCATTAATTGCCATCGTTCAATACACTCAATAATCTTCTCTGCAAGCTCCATGAAAAATTTTCTTTTTATTTAAAACACTATTATTTAGATATATCGAAGTTTGAAAGCAAGATTTATAGTAAAAGTTTATTTTTATAGCCGTCTTTAGATTTTTTTGCATAATCCGTAATGAATTTGAGATAATTACCATTCTTGATGCATGCTAGTGACCTATAGAAGCTTCTAAATAGTTCTACTGCTGTATAAACTCAGCCATCTTCTAACTTGAAGTTTATAAACGCATTATGTTGCTATTCAGAAATTGGATTCACAGAAAAGTAAGGATTAATTTCTGCATGCGTAGAGACTTTATAGTCCATGTTTATAGAAAGAGTATTATAAGCAGTGTTATAAATTCAAAAAAATTTTATTAGCGAAATGCAAAAAAAATCACAAAAAAAAAATTTATATGCGCGTTATATATACGGAGAGCACTGATATATGTGCAAATTTAAATCTATATATGCTACACCTAATGCGCGTATCCAATTTACATCACTAATTATAAGTACGCATTTCGACATTCTCAATTTTTATTAGGCAACTACGTGTAGCCGTGTTTCACAGAAAAAAACTGCAGAATTTCTCTTAAAAACAACAAATCGCAGAATTGTCTTAAAATTAACTTATTCAGAAAATCAAAGTAGTTTTTTTTATGTAAGGCCTTCAGCTACATTAAGATAAGTATTATAAAAATTCTTTCATAGCCTTTCTATGAGGGCCTCGCAAAAATGCTCGCCTTCACACTATCCCTATACTTTGAACTCAGGAAATCTCTCCGAAGTTTATGATTCATGTTTTCACTTTTGAGAGGTGTATCATAGAAAGAGATGAGAGTCTCACAGAAATGCTCACTTTTTACACATCCCTACGCTTTGGACTTAGAAAACCTCTCTAAAGTTTATGATTTGTGTTTCCACTCTCGAGAAGTATATCTTCATGCAGTGATAAATCGATTATAAAAAAAAGTAATCTAATTTAATTTTTGGAATTTTTATATGATTTTTTAATGCTAAAGATATACTACTTTTTTCAGAAAAACACCACGTTTAACTAGCCATACTGTATATGCAAATAAAAGCAATTTTTATTAATCAGTTACTAATGAGGGAAGTAGTTGTCATAGAACTTTTTTTTTTCTTTTTTAAAGAGCTGTAATTACTAATATTTTTGAACTAACATAAATACTATGGCAGAAGAAAACACTCACTTAAAAGAAGCTAGCATATTATGCCTTGAAGAAGTTGCTGAATAAAAGTTCCAGATAAAATGATTATACTAATAAGTATGATTTTTGGTTGTGGTGGTTGCGTGTTTGCAAATAAAGCAACTTCTGGACTTGCAAACTAATAACTATTTTCTTTATACAAATTTCTGAGAAATTTATTTGTGGGGAACATAAATTATCAGCGAATTTTGTCTCTCAGTCTGAAAAAGATATAGGTTAATAGATGGCCAATAATGTGGGTATTAATTTTTCTGAAACTGTATAGATAAATAAATGATGACCATTTTTATCTTATATTTGATTCTTTCTGATTGATTAAGAATAATGCATTAGTCAATTTTTAGCTTTAGAGAATTTGGACAATCTGAAGTTTTCGAAATTCTTTAGCAAATATGATCAACAAATTTGAATAACCTACGAGATGATTGGCTTTTTTATTATGCATTTTTTATTTTTGTAATTTATTTTTATTTTTTATATTTACCACATCAATAAAGTTAGCTCTGGTAGCTGATTTCATACATATAATCACGTTTACTTTGCATGTGTATTTCATGGATTTATTTATTGTATTATTAATATATACTGTATTAGCCCACATATGATCAAGAATTTTTTGGTAAAGTAATAGAGTATGAAATTTTTTCATGTAGACGTATAACTGATAACCAATACTTGTTCACACTATCGCATAAAAATAAAAAATTGGGAGTCCAGCAGACTCTCTCCTTTTATTATTATAAAAAATTATATTGTCACAATGACAATATAATATACAAATAAAAAAATATATCACAATTACTTAGTGCGAATACATATAAAAAAAAAAAATATCTTTCATAAACAAGGATATAGATATGATTTCTCAGTCTATTAATATCAAAATATTATGAAACTATATTTTGCAGATCTATATATTTTCTTATTTCTCGAGTGGTATCATTTACGTAGAGATCAAAATCAGTAAAAGGAACATTATTTCTAATCATATTTTTAAGGTTGGCGACTGTCATATTTGGGGGAATATTAATTGAATAATCACTACTAACATGATAATTTAAAGTAATATCTGCTATTTTGCTTTCTAATATAAAAATAAATAGTATGAACTCTGGTTGAAGTTTGGATATTCATTCTCATAATGAATATATAATAAAATATAAATATAGGTTGAACTAGGGTTGAACTCAGTAGAATGAATAGATGCACAAATAAGTACTTCAACAGCACTTCAGATGCAGAGCATTCTCTTTCTAAGAGACAGTGGCTTAGACAATTTTATATGTGTTTATTAACAAAAAGCCAACAGCACTTCAGATACAAAGCATCCTCTTTTCAAGAGATAGTGGCTTAATAGCAGTTATTAGTAAATATACGTATGTGCTATTTTAATACAACAAGTAGTGGTAATTTAATTTTACAACTCTTAGATTATTTCAAATTTATTATGTCATAGGTCATAGGACTTAATGGTCCCATAGATCCGCTTATCTGCTTAAGCAGATAGTCACTTGGTATTCAGGTTTATCAGTTCGAATGTGTAATAAAACTTTGATTAGCTTTAATAATCAATAGCCTGCATTAAATTTTATGCGGTATCACTCTCCTGCAGAATCATTTATTTCTCATAGTTGATTTTTTTATTAACAAATATTATGAAAAATGACTAGACTCTTTTCTTTACTTTATACGAGCTCACAATAAGAAAAAAACTTAAAAAAGCTATAAGGGTAATGAGTATAA